GTCCTTCGCACGGACGCAGATACCAATCTGGATGGATTCAAAGCTACTTGGGATTCTATATGTGGAGGAAATTATATAGCAACTAAAAAAGAACAGATTTTGTACAGTCCAGGTTTTCCATATGGTTACCACCCGAGTATGAGTTGCAAATATGAAATATCAGCACCAGGTAGCCGAGTGGTAATTAAATTCCTCGAGTTTGAATTGGAGGGCAGTTTCCCTGACTGTAAATCTGATAATCTCACCGTTTCGTCACAATCAGATTACAGCTATACGTACGAAACTTATTGCGGCACCAAAATACCCCCTGTGTCCACACTCTCCGAAAGAGTAGTCTTGGAATTCAATAGTGATCGCTATATACAGCGAAAAGGATTTAGAATATCCTTCTTTATATTTGAATGTGGAGGCAAAGTCAATGAGAGTACTATATTGTCGTCATCGCTTTCTGACACTTACGATCAAAATATGAACTGCACGTGGATCATTGAAGCCCCACCGACAAAGATCGTGGTATTGAAATTCCCTTACATAGACCTAGAAAGCAATACTGATTGCTACAGCGATTACGTCGCGGTGTTTGAGGGGTCCCGTCTTGATGCTGATAAGCGTTTAGCGATGTTGTGTGGACATATCAACACAACAACGAGCCTCAGGAGTAAGGGAAACAAGATGGTGTTACAGTTCGTCTCAGACTCCAGTGTGAGTTACAGAGGCTTCAAAGCCCAAGTTTACTTTAGTTATTCTGAAGCAGCTCAATGTGGCGGACATATCAATTTAACGACCGAGTCGTCACACAATTTAAAATCTCCTTTAATGGGACATCCTGTATATGAAAACTATTTAGACTGTTTATGGACCATAACATCACCGCCCGACACAATTATTAGAATTCATTTTTCTTCGTTCCACGTGTCTCCTTGCCAAAACGTCAATCAAACTGCTATCGGTTACAGTAAATGCGATTGTGACTTCGTTGAAATCAAAGACGGTATCAACCCTAACAGTCTAGTAATAGGAACTTATTGCGGACACACGCTCCCTCCAGATCTAATTTCTTCTAAAAATATAATGGCCGTGACGCTGTCCACAGATAGTGTCATTGGAAGTCAAGGATTCGAGGCCACATTGACGGCACAGCGATCAATATGCGGGACCTCTGTCATCACAGTCAGTCATACGCCACAACGTTTTAAGTCCCCGAGGTATGACGAAGCAGGGGCTATCCCTCGAGGTCTTCACTGTTCTTATCACTTGGACAACAGTGCGTCTCCATATAGCTTGATTGTTTTAACTATTAAAGATTTAGACTTACAACCCGCCGTTACTGATAGTGAGAACAAAACGTACTGCAATAGAGACAAGCTGGTTATCTCTTCCAGTGCTAATAATCCAAATATTACCCTTGGAAAAGATTTCATCGTCAACTATCAGGGTTCAGATATTATTAATCGTAATTCTTTCTTCGATAGCGCGCTGTATATACCCCAAACATATGAGTTTTGCGGGCGTAAAGAGCCTTCGGATTTGTATCTCAATGGAGCTGTAAAACTTAATTTAATCACCTCATCAATAACTGATTCCAAAGTTCACAAAGGTGTGGATATAGAAGTGGCATTTGCAGGATTCTGTGGAAGAAATTATACGGAACCGTACGGCCGCGTACAGGCTGCGTTTGCTGGCTACTCTGATTCTGCTACCACATTAAGCGACTGTTACACCCTGATAACTGCTCCAGAAAACTATACAATATCCGCATATATATTTAACGCAGCCCCAGATTACTGGAACGAAAACAGCTACGTTGATGTATATGATGGAAAGAACTCAAATGCGCCTAGACTAGTAAGAATTGCTACAAGTTATGAGGGTAATAAGCCTATCTTCTCGACTGGTAGATATCTGCTATTGCACAACCATGAAAATAATGGCGACCGTGTTACATTTGATTTGGTTTACGTGACAACTAATAAAGGACGCGGCTGTGGTGGGAAACTGCACACTGTAGAAGGTAAAGTTACCAGTCCTATGTATCCCAATGTTTACAGACGTGTGTCGACCTGCGAGTGGGAGCTTGAGACGCCAGTAGGTACTCACTTAATGTTACGTTTCCCTGTGTTCGACTTAGGGATTACATGTGACCAGAATTACGTCCAGCTTGTAGACAGCAATGGAGTTGTGGTACGAACATTTTGCGAGGAAATACCTGCAGACTACACGAGCACCAATAATTATGTAAAGATAGTATTTGTCACCACCATGAACAATGGCGGGACTGGCTGGGTTGCTGAATTCATAGGTACTATGTAAAATTTGTTGAGTAACGTTACTTTTCTAAATTTCGATTTGATTAAGTTCTCTTTGAAGAAATAGTAATTTTGATACATATACTATTTTGATACATGTACCTAATACTTGCATAATACCTACAAGTACATTGTTACACCGTTTTGTAGTTGAATACTTAGTTTATAAGCGGCATACACATATGAAAGCTGTTGTGAAGAGTTCAGTAAATAATGATATATCCATACGCCAAAAAATATTGCCAAAAAGTCTTTGTCATATTATCCATATGACAAAGACAAATTACAAAGTATAAGGTGGAAAAATCCTCATTATGTATATCTATAGATGTCTGTAGCGTAGTTAAGTTTAACTTAAAACGCATTTTGTTCATTTTTCAACTCTGAAGTACCACATTGTATCTTAATATTAATATTGTTTTTCTTTTGTTTAGCAACAGTTGTGTTCTATTTTTAAAATTGTTGGTATATTTAATTGAATTAAGAATAATTTATAAATCGACTTTATTAATTAAAGAAACAAAGCTAAGGACGTTGTTTTATTGATTCTTTCATTCGAACAAAATCGACAAAATCGTTTATAATGTATCTATTAATGATAGATACCTGGCTCAATCTAAATGACCGGCTGCTGCACAACGTGTCGAGGGTTTGATTCCTGTGCTAGCCAAAAAGTGACAAAGGCCTTTACTGAGTAAAATTAAAGTGCGGCAGTGTTTCAACCCCGTGCCTCGGAAAGCACGTGAAGCAGTTGGTCCTGCGCCTGTGAGACCAGGGAGGACACTTGTGTTCGCGCACACACTTATACTCTACTAGCGACCCGCCCCGGCTTCGCACGGGTGCAATATGCATGTATTATACATACAAACCTTCCTTAAGAATCACTCTATCTATTAAAAAAAACCGCATCAAAATCCGTTGCGTAGTTTTAAAGATCTAAGCATACATACGGACATACAGCGAAAGCGACTTTGTTTTATACTATGTATTGATTATAATATCTCCTGGTTAGTGGGCTAGTCTAGTTAGACTTAACACCATGATTGAAATCAATCGGGAGATCTATTTTTATTTATTTGCTTTTTCCCAAAAAAAATCGAGCCAAACCACTCCAGCAAGTTTAAGCCAAGTGCTAAATGCTTCTTTGAGACGTGTCTGAGAACGTCCTTTCACGAGGTCGACGATGCTACGACAAGCAATGATCCTGAAGTATTGTTAAGGCTTACATAACGAGTACCGTCAATATTGTTTAGGGCTGACATTCATCTGAATCTGATAAGAACTGAACTAAACCTTGCCAATTATCATAAATGTAACAGCAACAGCAGTTATTTTCTGATGAGGTAGACAGAACTCTCAGTCGTAGACTTTTATACCATTTACATACATGGAGTTTATTGTAATGAGGTTTACCCACTGTGAGTAGATACATCTAGGTATATGGCAATCTTCCTAACGGGTAACCGGGGCTCCGGCTCGACGTGCAGGAGAAAGAACGGGGTGATTTTTAGTCAGTAAGAGTCTGACACTCCCTCCCGCCTCACCCAGACGCAGACGGGAGCATACATTCGATGATTCCCCCCCCCCTTAAAAAAATAATAAAAAAAGACCCCTGTGATCACTGATCGTAGGTACCTACCTATTGGGGCCCATTTGCTACCTTACTAGAATTTCAAAATTTGAAAAACCTAATTAGATCAATGTGCTCGAAAAGCAGGTAAATTAAATAGGTACAATTCTCAGTCTAGGCCAAGAAAATGAATGAGAATTACTGCTTGAAAAATACCACTTACGATCAATTGACCATCGACCATCGAGGCTCAGAACAGAACTCAGCATAAAATAAGTACATCAAAGCAGAATTTATGTCTACACAATCTGTACTAACTTGTCATTTTGACTTTGTGGTAGTGTCACTTTAGTAACAACTTTTACAAACTCAAAAAGCTGCCTGGCCACCCGCCTTCTATTCCGTATGCCGTAACCCACCCTCAACGCCTAATAAATTCAAAGTGTAAGTAAGTTATCGTGCCCTCATTACATCTGTTCACGGTACCAGTAGCCAGTAATAATCCTACCTCCTACACTAGAGGTACATTATGATATACCATCATCGTTCGCTAGTACCCAGCCCAAGTTTGGGCAAACGAACACCTGACCAGTTTTGCAGCAGAGGGAAGAGCAAGTAAAAAATTACTGGGTACAATGTACAATACAATATACTGGTAACGTTCATTCTATTTCTATTCTAGTCACTTTGTTAACCGGTTCGTACTCGTCAAAGTCGCCACATGTGTAGGTACATATTTGTATTTCCCGCGCCTTAAAGTACTTTTGGTTTGTTTCCATGAACATTATAAACAGCTATCTCTTGTCTCTTAACCATCTGCCTAGCGTAGAGATGATGCCAAACCCTCGTAGGTACTAGATATCCAATGTCCTACAGAGGACTATCACATGGTGTTGGTGTTGGGGCACTTTACAGCTCATTATGACTGCGATGAAATCTTTTAGAAATTAAGGAGTACGTTAGGTTTGGAGTTTAATTGCATTTATTTTCATTTCTTGTTGACATTTTTTAACACAAAATATTTTAGCCTTTTTGATAATAAAACGTTTGTCAAATCAAACGTAATGTCATGAACTCGTGACGTGACGCTGACGGTTGGTTGATTTTGTCACTGTCACTTTGTAAGTTTGACAATACAGTCGGTGTTTTTGATATAAATGAATAATCTCCAAGCATAGAATTGTGTACACTAGATAGGATAGTTTTAATTAAAAAGTAGTAATTATAAGTAATACGATGGACTTTTTGGTATTTCTATGGATCATTATTACATACGGTTTAGCCGCGGCTATAACCTTACTTATCATGGTAAGTACTTACAACAATAAAATTAAACATTAAATTGTATGGAACAAGTGTCTCGTTGGCAAATATTAAAATAAGAATATATACCCAAACTTGTTGAGTAAAGTGTTTTTTTTAAGTTTTATTTAATTCATGTTCATATAAATAATATCAGGTACCTAATGTTTTCATTATTTAATATGGCTTGTGTTTTAACTTACCACCAGATAGTACGGACTAAAATAGTAAATGGTCACCGAAATCAAACCCACATTTCAATGTAAAATTATAACCAAAATTTAACATTTCCCTATCCTATTTAATCTATATTATTTCAAATAAATCATTGTCAACCCAAAAGTAGTAAATCATCACCTAATTACCACCATAGTTTAATTAATATTAATATAAAATATGTAGATCTAAGACCAAATATATGCTGTTTGGAACAAATGGTCAGTTGCAAAGAATACCTATAAACGGCGCTAACTTGTTACTGAGGGGCCAGACAGTCGAGCGCGTTTATGATGCAAAAAATTTGGGTTTGGTTATGGATCAGGGCCTCAGGTTCGAATCGTACGTCTCAAATTGCGTCAGAAATTGTTTTTATCGTCTGAAAGTACTGTACAAAATGCGCCCGTACCTATGTGAGGAGTTGCGTGTGCAGTTGGCCGAATCTCTGGTACTGTCTAAATTAAATTACGCGGACACGGTCATCGGCCCCAGACTCCTATCGCGCACCAAACGATTGATACAGAGAGTACAGAATGCTTGCGCACGTTTTTGTTTCAAAATACCACCAAGGAGCCACATTACACCATATCTCAATAAACACAATTTGTTAAAAATGAAGTCACGTCGCAAGCTTCATCTGGCCTGTCTCCTCTTTGGTGTCATAAGAACCAAATGTCCGTCATATCTCTACTTGAAACTCTCGTGGGTGAATGCACATCGCCGGCGAGAGGGTAGGCGTTGTGCGCAGCAGCTGGCTATACCGCAACACAAATCTGCTGCATTTAGGGGTAGCTTCAGGTATGCGGCATCGAAGTGCTGGAACAACATCCCTCCGCCAATCAGAAATCTGCAAAGTATAAGTACTTTCAGAAGAAAGCTCAAGGAGTTTGTGCTTACTTCCCAAATCAGCAGCGCTGAAATAAACGCGGACCTGTCTTTTATTTGACCTATTTAATTCTAATATTGATTATTACAGCCGTCCCTGTTTCATCATATCTCAAATCATACATTGGCATGAGCTGTCCACACATTACACACATAACTCCACAATTATTGTAGCACATTATTAATAACTATTATATTTGTTAATAAATTGAACACACAAAATTAACTTGTCAAGTACCGTCATTATAGACACAATTATAGAACAATAGGTTGCGGTCACTGGTGACCGCTTGGTGTTTGACAGTTTAATAACAAAGTTTCTATACATAATTATGTGGATTACAAGTATGTGTTGCTCTCGTCCGTGCGTCACTGCAGGGGTGCCAACTGAAAATCAGTGTTGGGTGCTCATTGTGCCCAGCTTTATGCTGAGTTGGTGACCCGTTCGGATTGGACATGTCCGCCAACACCGCGCACTTGAATGGCTTATTGGCTTGCTTTAGTTTTAGTTTTAGTTTTATAATTTAACTTTTATCTTTTAATTTTTCTGTTTTTATGCTTTTTTTATATTTATGTCTTTTCTGGCGTGCATGTCTTATGCCGAATAAACATTTTTCATTTCATTTCATTTCATTTCATTTTCATAGATCAAGGCGACGAGGCTAGATATATTTTTTGGTAAAAAAACAGAATAACAAAGTATTTTCTGGTGGTCATAATATTTAACTAATCCTATTTAATATATTTATTATGTTTTTCGGCTAACTCACGTAATTATTTGACGAGGATATCAACTAGTTTCAAGCCATGCTAGAGGTTCACTGTCATGCCTGGTGCCAAAATCGCGCTGGACCCACGCCGCAGCAGACTCGAGTAGCCAGTGTAGGGCGTAGTAGGGCGACAGTCGCCGCATTGCGGGCCGCGGAATGCTGCTCATGAATATGCCTCTAGCATGGCTTGAAACTAGTCGAGTTCCTCATCAAATATCTATGTGAGTAAGCCGAAAAACATAATAATTCATTTAGGATGTCTCACGAAACTTATAACATAAATATATACATTGTAGATAAGCATCATAATTTACCTGGTAACAAACCCGTACCCTGAAATGGAACGATTTGAAGAAGAGAATATGTATAATGATCCTAAAAGTAACAGCAGAATGAGGTTTCCCAACATTGAGGAGCCTCACAGTGTACACCTAAGTGTGATAGTGCCAGCTTACAATGAACAAGACAGATGTAAGTTAATATCACATTATATAAAAAAGTGGTTCACAATTAAACATTTCTTTTTTTACTTTAACTTGTACACAATCACCTGATATAAATCCCTGAAATTTGGTAAGTTTGTAAGAATTGTAGCAATTGCTGTTCCATAGTCTCTAACTCTCCAATGGGAGACAGGCATGAGGTTATGTATGTAATTAACTGAAATATAAAAATAGTTAGCTTTAAAACTAAGTAGAAAAAGTGTCTTTGTCAGTATCATATTGTTTTATTCCCTACACATTAATAATTAAAAAAAGAAATTAAATTGTATACTCTGTTGTCAGTACCACCCATGCTCGATGAGGCTATAGACTTTTTGGAATGCAGAGTGAAGGAGCACCCTTCATACAAATATGAAATAATAGTAGTCAGCGATGGAAGCAGAGACAAGACTGTCCAAGTAGCTCAGAAATATGCTGAAAAATATGGCAGTGAAAAAATTAGGTGCCTGCACCTTATTAAAAACAGAGGGAAGGGAGGTGCTGTTCGATTGGTAAGATATTAATTTATTATATTATGATGAACAAAAAATTATTCAGAAAATATTCTCTGCATATAAGTAAAAAAAACAGTAGGTATTTTGTAAAAAATATTTAATATTGCAAAAAATTGGTTTTTCCTTATCATTATAATGTTTTCTATACTTATAACAAGTTGCCTTAGATGGTACATCAATTCAGTGATACCAAATATTTTAATTACACTTATTTTGATATAGTGTATACTAGCTTTTACCCGCGGCTTCGCTCGCGGCACAAAAGGATAAAAAGTAGCCTATGTGACATATACCAATAAACACAGCGCCATCTATACCAATACTTTTGTTTTCGGAAATATAAAATTTTTTCGGGATAATAAGTACCCTATTATTTAATCCAGACTTCTAACTTTACGTCTGCAAAAATTCAAAGCAATTCGGTTTAGTAGTTAAGGCGTGAAAGTGGAACAAACAAACTCACTTTCCAATTTATAATATTAGTAAGGATTTAATAAAAAAAATGTTGTAGGGTATACAAAGCTGCCGAGGAGCCAGTATATTGTTTGCTGATGCAGACGGAGCATCTAAGTTTGAAGACCTAACAAAATTAGAAGCAGCACTGAAGGGGCTAAGTTATGACCCAGTACTTCAACCTAAGGATGTTAGCAACAGTATAGCCATTGTGATTGGCTCTAGAGCACATCTCGAGAAGGAGTCCTTGGCTACTCGCAGTGTTTTTAGGTAAGAAATTATTTTCTTATCTGTTACTTGGTGGACTTTTACTTACAATTAAGCATAATTTATTTTAGTATAATAGGAAAATCAATTAAACTCAGTCATGAAATTGCCCTAGTAGTGTACTCGCAAGTCTCGAGTTGGTCTCGGGCCAATGAAGTATTATCAAATTTTTCAGTTTTCGAAGATTCTCGACAATAGAAAGCAAGTTTGAAAATTATACTGTGGGGTGGTAATGATAAATGAATGTTACATTTGAAACATATGCCTCGCCTTACATCCGTTTTAAAATAAAAGGCGTGAAATATTTAAAAAAAACTACTTTTTATCGCCCTTTTGGTAGCAAAAATGCGTAATCATAAAACTTAACTAGATTTATTTTAATACATTGATTGTATTCAGGATGCGAGTGGTATGTTATCTCGTTGATCAAACGATAACTGTATTTATTCATTGATGTTCTACATCAGTTAACAAATGAAAATGACATCACTATGCCTAAATACAGGATATCCATATTACTGATATTACAGTAAGCGCCGCGATATCTATCTCGATCTCGGAATATTTATTTGACAGAAATAGATTTTTGAAGTAACACTATGGAATCGGATTTCTTGTAGCCTTTGATATCTTTGAAATGCTTATTTACATCAGTTATGTATTAGCATTTGTAAGCTACATATTTAAATACCAAAAGGTGATTCTACTGGTAAACATTCTACGCTTATTATCTGCGGGAATGCCAATATTGAAATACCCTAATAATACTATAATTATTAACTACCTTTTAAACAACATAAACATTATCATAAAATCGTTATTTTCTATTTTCAGGAATATTCTGATGTATGGGTTCCACTTCCTTGTATGGCTGTTCACTGTCAAAGGTGTGAGAGACACGCAGTGCGGGTTCAAACTGTTCACTAGGAAAGCAGCAAACATCTGTTTCAAAAGTTTACATGTAAACAGATGGTAAGTTTTTTTTTAATTCTTTTTTATGACAGCGAATTTACAAAGCCCTAAAATCCCACTCATAAACAATTGTAACTGGTATACATACATACCTAGACTAGACCTACTATCACTATGCCTAAAGATTTATATTTATAAATAGATCGCAATGAAAATGGGAAGGCATTTTATTATGACTGAAATAAAATGTTCCGTGCCAAATCCTGCCCCTCTTCTATAATTACTTGGGGTCGGCACAATAATCTAAAATATAAGATGACGCACAATGTGCATTTTCCTGCGCATTCGATAGAATTCGCGAGTCTGAAACAACATTCCCTGACTTTTTATCATATTTTCCTGTTATTGAGATAAAAAATAATGTGGGTATTTTTCCTTTTTTTGTTCATTATAAAATACAGAAGTTTGAAGTTATTATTATTGATCGAAATACTATATCCACATGAATGTGTTGAAAATAGTTATCAATTTTCCTCGTACATTCGACGACAGGTTTGGCGATTTACCAATAATTTATTCTGTAATTACATTGCACTACCTGCTTGAGTTTAATTCCGTCATATTATTATAAACATTTCCAGTAACTAATGGAGGATTTACTATCTCCTCTAACTCATTATCATCTCATAGTTATTGTAATTGCCCCACACTGATATTGTCTCTCGTGGTTGTTTTGACTATTTCATTATAATACCTGAAATAACTTATTATTTCTTGTTGCAGGGCATTCGACGTAGAATTACTGTACATAGCACAAACACTAAACATTCCAATTGCTGAGATTCCAGTCAGATGGACGGAAATAGAAGGATCCAAAGTGACTCCAGTGTTATCCTGGATCCAAATGGGCTGTGACCTTGGCCTCATCTGGCTCAAATACACCATTGGAGCTTGGAAAATAAAAAGTCTGAAGAAAGAATAGAACTATATTTTGATACTTTTTCCTAATTATATTTGAACTACCATAATTAAGGTATTATAACCTGTCTCTAAATTTTCATTTACTTTAAGTATAATAGCAGTGTCCACATGCACTTTAAAAAGAAAAGAAAATAGATTATATCAATAAAATAATAGACGCTTATTCATAAACTTTTATTTGTAGTCTTTTACCCAGAACAGAGAACATACACAACAATGCACATAATCATACTTTATAAGCTGGACCGAAGTAACAAAATAATAACAATACACTTTAAAAAGTTATACAGCTATAAATACAGTTTTAAACTATAAATAGGAAATGCAATGTCATTCGTAAAATAAAAAATATATATTTTTTTAATATTTTTTACATCTGCACTCAAATATTCTTACAGTTACACTGATCAACATTTATCTTGCAGATGGAATTGGAGTAGAAATAATCTTATGTACTTATTTAAGTTTATACTTTATAGGTGAGATTATTACAGTGGTGTTTTTAATTAGTACGCCAAGCTTTGTTGTTAGTAAGACTAACACATAAATGTTATCTAAATGCAAACAACAGGTAGTCATGTGTACATCAGACTTAAAAACCCTTTAGATTTAACTATATAAACATCTATCAAATAGACATGATAATTATAGATTTTCCCACAAGTCCGCAGTTCTAGTAACTTATTGAAAATAACACTGCACATTTTCTATTTACAATAAACATACATGATTGATCATTGAATAGAAATATAATTATATATGAATACAATATTACACACATACAATAAGTACAACAACATACGCACATACACTTTACCTTATAAAATATTTTAAAACTGTGGTCTTAAGTTAGAAAGGTTACACAAAATGGAAATGACAGGCACAAATAGATTTTGAGCTTTAGTTTCAAATCTAAATAATATAAACCAAATAAGATCTTCTAATTTAGATCACTTTGTTCCTATCAGTATAAAGTTTTGGCAAAATTTTTAAAATCAGATAATATTCGAAAATGTTCTTTTTGAGCATTGAAAATTCGTCAAGTCCAAAAAGGTATGCATAGCGAAGATTAAAGCAACTATTTTTAGCTACGGGCTAAAAGGAATTATGCATATGCTACTGAAAAAATGAAGTGTATTTGAGACAATTTGGTTTTAAACGTTTTTGTTACCCGAGTATGGTAATTACCTTTGATAGTTTTATTTAATTGGTGGGTATGAGTGGGCTGTACGAAACCGTTTTCCGGAGCCTTGTCAACTGCGATGTTTACGGCAAACACTGAACCAAAGAGAAATTCTCCTATTAGTGCATCAACACATTGTACAATTTCCAATTAAAATTACTTAATCTAATGCTTAAAAACATAAAAATTTTGAACGGCACCACAAAATACAATTTGGTTAAAAATACTGAACAATTCAAATAATTAAACATAGCTCTTTATTGGTTAATAAAAAATGGTCTAGTACATATTAACTGATAGATTGAGCCAGTTGAATTATTATAATTTTGTACTTAAATGTGTTTGTCATAATTCAAAAGCAACATTTTAATATTTAGGTTACAGCCAACTACCTTTATTAAATACCATAAGTATTTAAATTTTTTAGTATAAGATACATAGGAGGAAGAAACGTTCACTTTTAAGCGAAGGTTGTTCCTCTAGATGTAAGGTATCTTAAGCCTTTATGTTTATATGACACATAGTTTGAGTATTTTTGAGCTAGACTTTAGACACGAGACAAGGAAGACCTCAGTTTCTGTACTTAAACACGTGTAGAGACTATAGATTAATATTACACATAGTATTCAGACCTATAATACAGTTACACAAAATATAAAGATTTACAAGTAGACAAATAACATTCATAATATATAGCACTACTATACATCGATGCTAACTCTGTTGTGAACCAATAAAGCTGAATTTAGTTAATTGCTAGCCTATTGTCTAATGAAATTATGACCATGTTTCAGACAAGTTTTAACATTAGAAAATTGGAGTTCCAGCTAATAGGTACAGCAATTAACTAATGACGTCGGCACACAACAAAGAGAACAACAATGTATCTTATATCACAAAACACGCAAAAAGTTATACTTTTGTCTTTGTTCACATCAATATACAACAAGCTTAGATACTTATTACAGAAAATATTATGTTGGTACATCAACTACGACTGCAAAAGAATGCAAAACAAAACTTTTAACGTGAACTAAGCTAGAGCTACATTTAAATAGAAAAATTTTGTAAAAAAGTTGAATCTATTTTTGTAAAAAATCAGCCTCAAGTCGTTAAATAGTATAAATCAGCAAAAGGCTGCATTCTAGCATGCTTTCTTCATTCGATTAAGTTTCCACACCGCAAGTTAAAGCTGTGGCCTTGCTCAGGGAATGAGTGTGGATGCAATTTCAAGAGACTCCAAGCATTCATGTCACTGGGACGTTTGGGAACAGAAAGTGCGGATAGATGGGAAGTTCGTATATTGCAAAAGTCGTGTCTGATTCGATCATATATAAGAGATTCTCAATAGACACATTTTATACTTTTACCTTTAATCCAAAGACCATCTTAAGGAATTGTTCGTAGTGAATGGTTATTACTCCATCTTGGTCTGTGTCGAATTGGCGGAACGCTGACGTAAGAGTCTGAAATCAAAGACCATTAAAATTAAATTAAAATTTGTATATAGAAGATAAGTATTATACTTTTGTTTATTGTTACTCAAATCGCAATGAGTCACTGGTACAATGATAGATCAGTAACTAAATCCTGAAAATTGTGGTTTGCCACAAAATATATACTTACATATAAAGTGACACAGCACTGGATGAAATCATCAAACAAGATGGTCCCGCGGCCAAATCTATCGAACTTCTGTACCATAATGTTTACAACTTCATCTGACAATCTGTACCCAAATGCTGTGAGTGCATTCTTTAACTCCATCTTATCAATGTTTCCTGAATTATCTCTGTCGAAGGATCGGAAGCAGTTCTGCCAGTCAGTGACATATTTCCAGAGTGCGCCAAAATCTTCAAAGTTGATCACACCTCTATTCTGTTTGTCAAACATACCTGGAATTTGTAAAAAATATTGTTATTGTTATATCACTCTTTTGGTACTGAATTTATTTACAGCGAAACCTTTTTAACATTTTCATCTGATATTTAATTTAATTAAATAATATTTTAGTATACCTTTGACTTACTAGTCAAACACATTTTTTTTTAATTGAATAAATCAATAAAGTACTCGTAGATAAATAAACAAGTCTTCATACTGACACAACATTATTTATTATTTTGTATCAGGAAGATATTAGTAATAATGAACAATCATTATTCCATAAATGCTTTCCATCCGTTGGAAAATGGCAGTTGTACATGTGAGGCAAAAATCAGGCAATATTCTCAATATATATACTACATATTTATAATTCATAGTTATTTAAAAATATTTACATATAAATCTGGTGCTTACCAATCATAAGACGGACAGTTTCAGGGTTGAATGGATTCCATGTTCCATTGGACAGAGCTTGTTGTAACTCATCAGCTGATATATAGCCGCTGCGGTCCTTGTCCACTCTGTGAATAACCATAAACCAAATTTATATTATGCAGTTTCTTTTATTTGCATTAGTTTATGTTATTGAAATGCTAAAGCAAATGATGCAGCAGATGACAAACATGACAAACCTTCTAATAAGTCTAATGACTGAATTAAGGCCTCAGTCACATTCTCGGGGGCTCGAGCAGGAAGCTTTTGTCAAGGCGGGAAGCAGACGGCCCACCCTGCCCCCCCGCTTCTGAGTCCACTCAAGCCTCTAACCCTGGCTTTATGGAATGCTAATGGGCTGGCTAACCACACACAGGAAATAATTGTTTTTTTGCACACACATAATGTTGATTTCATGTTGATATCGGAAACACACTTCACCGAAAAAAGTCACTTTAAAATTCCGAAGTATAAAATGTATCACACAAATCACCCAGATGGCACCGCACACGGAGGATCCGCTATACTTGTAAAAGAAAATATCAAGCACTATGGTAACAATTCTCACCGCAGCGAGGAAATCCAAGCCACCATCATCACCATAGAAAGCTCTAATGGCCCAATACAAATATCTGCTCTTTACACTCCCCCTAAGCATAAATTGAAATCTGATCAATATACGGCATTCTTTGGCAAACTTGGCAGCAAATTCATTGCAGGAGGGGATTATAACGCCAAACATACCGACTGGGGCTCAAGACTTATCACCACAAAGGGTCGAGAACTCATGCAAACCATCCAAAAGTTAAATCTAGGCTACACATCTACTGGGTGCCCAACATACTGGCCTTCTGATCCAAAAAAGAAACCAGACCTGGTAGACTTTTTTATTACCAAAGGTCTTTCTAGTTTGGCGTTGCTTTGCCACCCTACTTATGACCTATCCTCGGACCACACAGCTATTATAGCGAAGCTCCAAAATGACCTCGTAGAAGTTGTCAGACCCTGCAAACTGCACTCAAGGAACACCAATTGGGAACTTTTTAGAGAAATTATAGAAAATTCACTTAACGAACGCGTTCCTCTCAAATCAGACGAGGACATTACAGCAGCAGTAGAGATCTTTAACCAATGCGTTCAATCGGCTGCTTGGGATGCCACTCCGCTCAGACGAGCTGTGATTACGATTCCCTTGTATCCGCAGATCGTTACGGATATAATACAAAGAAAACGACGCGCAAGGAAACTGTGGCAACAAACTCGACACTCTAGTGACAAGAAAATACTTAACCATCTAACCAAGCAAGTGAAAAATATCCTCTTGATGATAAAAAACAAAAATCTGGAAGATCGTCTGTCTAAAATGGATGCAACATCTGCTACTGATTACTCGCTTTGGAAAGTGACCAAATCTCTGAAAGGACCAATTGAGTTCCAATCACCTTTGCGACGGGATGACGGCTCTTGGGCTAAAAGCGACACAGACAAATCCACACTGTTTGCAGAACACTTGTCTAGAGTGTTTACTCCAAATCCAAGCTCGGGTTCAACAAAAGTGAGTGAAGTAATGGAGGCTCTTTCAGCACCGTACCAACTTGCACCCCCAATCAAAAAATTCACTAAAAAAGAGGTTACATCTATAATCAGAAAACTCAACCTGAATAAAGCGCCTGGTTATGACCTTGTTACATCTAAGGTGATGAAAGAACTCCCTCACAAAGCAATAACCCTATTAACAGCTATTTATAACTCAATCTTAAGATATGAATACGTCCCTGCTCAATGGAAAGTAGCAGAAATTATTGTCATTCCAAAACCTGGGAAGGATCCGGAAAATGTATCATCATATCGACCGATAAGTCTCCTGCCTGTTGCCTCAAAAATAATGGAAATTCTTATCTTAAAACGACTGACTCCAGAGCTTGAGAAGGCCAAATTAATCCCTACTCATCAGTTTGGCTTTCGCAAAGCTCATGGGACAATTGAACAGGTACATCGTTTGGTTGAAAAGATAAACCATGCCTTTGAAAACCAGAAATACTGTTCAGCGGCATTCTTAGACATATCGCAAGCCTTCGATCGTGTGTGGCACGAGGGACTCTTATTTAAAATCCTACAAGCCTTACCAGTCAACATCTATCTCATCATCAAATCATACCTCCAACAACGACACTTCTATGTAAAACATGGAGAAGCCAGAAGTAATCTTTATAAAATCCAAGCAGGTGTTCCTCAGGGCAGCGTAATGGGTCCTATCTTATACCTAATATATACTTTTGACCTACCAACTTCCGACGAGGTCCTCGTAGGGACATTCGCTGATGATACTGCTCTTATTGCTGCACACGACTGTCCCGTGGCAGCGTCCGACATGCTGCAAAAAAGCCTTAATGACGTTTCGGCCTGGTTAAAGGATTGGAGAATAAAAGCTAATGAATCCAAATCTGTACACGTAACTTTCACTCTCAGACATGCATCATGTCCCCCAGTTGTTTTTAATGGCATAACAATTCCTCAGCTGGACGACGTGCGATACTTGGGAATATACTTGGACAAACGATTAACTTGGAAGAAGCATATATTCACTAAAAGGAAAGCTCTAAGTACACAACTTCGAAATCTCTACGGGCTCATGGCACGAAAGTCAAACCTGTCACTAAGCAACAAACTTCTCCTCTACAAAGCTATATTAAAACCAATATGGTCATATGGAGCAGAACTCTGGGGAACGGCAGCCAACTCAAACTTGGACATTTTACAACGCTTCCAATCAAAAATGCTTCGAATGATTGCAAATGCCCCATGGTATATAAGTAATACCCAATTACACCGAGACTTAAAAATAAGACCAGTGAAGGAGGAAGTCATAAACAAACTGAAGTCGTATTCTCGTCGCATAAGGAGTCACCCCAACAAGCTTGCTAGTGAGCTTATGAAGTCTGCCAGCACCTTTAAGCGCATCAAAAGGAGAGCTCCACAGGACCTACTCCTGTCTCAGCAAAAACATCCAACTTGAGGGATGCAATAATTGAAGACGGGTACACCACTGGGCGTTCTCCGTACATGTCACAATACATGAACCTCTTAACCACCAGTTAAATGCCCAACTGGGCAGATTGCAGGGAAATAAGGAGATTTAAAAAAAAAAAAAAAAAAGTTTGTTTTATCTATATGAGAATCCATAAAAAGCGATTAACACCAAGATTTTTCATAGAATTAAATTGCTAATAGATTTCAATATAAAATTAATAATTGTTAGAAAATATAAGGACACATTCTATATATTATTATCTCTAGAACAAACAAAAACTAAACTGTAGTTAATGTTTTAAAGGAAACCAATTGAATTAAAACCAGGCAATATTTTTACTTAAGTGGCTTTTTGTATAAGGTCAATTAACCTCCATGGTTTGTGGCTGTCGTGGATACTAAATATGATGCAATACTTACAAAAACAGAATGAGTCATAAATCACAATTAGGCAAATACCATGGTTAATTGAGTTCTCTATTACTTTTTTCTGTTTTATTATTGTTGTTATATTGTGTTATATCATTTGTCATCAATCACATAAAATAAGTAAATACATTAAAAAGTTATTTACCTTCTGAACACATCCCAAAGGAACTCTCGGCTTGGCATTGGTGATTGGAACGACATCTCTATCTGTAACAATAAAGATAAATAAGTAAAACATATTAAGAACTATACAATTAAAATAAAATATAATAGGTAGGTACATTTGCTCTAGAAAGACAGATCTAACAAATGCAGATGTTTGTCTATCTACCTTGTGCACAACTTATTTAACAAGATTACAAGACTTGAAATCGACAATTAGGTACATTGTAATGTTTATTTACATCGTAGCAACTCTTATCTATTTGTTTTATCTCTTGATAATTCAGGTTTGGATCCAAATATCAATAATAATTTGTACAATTACAAGTAAACCTGTTACTTAAAAACTTAACTAATAATATCTGTTTTATTTATTTAAAGTAAACCGGTTAATAATGCACTTCACAAATAATACTTGCTGGTGGCTTCACTAAAATTCTAACTATTACAATATACTAGATGTTTCTGCAGGTTAAACTACGGACACAGCATGAAAAACAAATTATTGTTAATCCAGTAATTCACCTTGAGTATCACTTAGCAATTTAATTTAACATACAGTATAGTAACAGCAATAACTTTAATCACATCGCTCACCTGTTTGCTTTACCGTCTAACTGAAACCTCTTTAAGTGAATGTAATTTCCACGATAGTTGTTGCAGGAACTATCACTTCACACCTCGATTAATACTTCAAATCTGGCTCGATGGAAAGCTGCAGAGCGTAATATACCCAAATTATTATATCTGTATTCTCGGAAACTGTGTTTGAAGCTGGTTGACTGATTATGAGTCAAAGTACGTCTTTGAAGTACGTCATCTAAATGACGTCACGACGTGTTAGTGAAAGAAAACGTCAAAATGAACAGAGTCAAGTTGCCATAATTATCAAAGTTCATCTCAAATTCTCAATACATTCGCTGTTAAGTTTACACTATTCATGCATCTTGTAGTTTATAGAAAAATGTGGTAATTGTAAAAGTAAGTATAATTAACTGGTTCGATCCTCATTTTTAATTATTTGTTGGTATTTTCTTCAAAAAACATAAGAATAGCGTTTTGTTATTTGTTATAGTTTCTCATATTCAGTTGCGTTTAGTTACACCTCATAAGTTTGTGGTTGTTACGATGCTATGGATGTGAGCCACAGCATATTTCAACATTGTGCTTTGATACGAAAATGGCTGATGTCTCAAATAATGATCGCAAAGTGAAGTTTACTAAAAACGGGAAAATCGTTAAAAGACGTCTAAGGAATCCAGAAGGCAAGTGTTAATTTATTCGTAGCTCTCAAATAGGAATCGTTTATTGCCTCTCATTACTTTTATTCATACATTGTTCTCATTGTTATGTCTGCATTACTTTACCCAGTTTTTGACTCTTATTACCTTACTACATTTTTGTGAAACTACTTGAATGTTTCGAAATTGTTTGCTTGACTTTATTTGATAGTAAAACATAATAAACACTGAAGCTCCTGCTAATTTGTACAATATTTCTTTCATTGTTGGATATATATACACGCAAGGTATATTATTTTGTTTATAAAACTGTAATCAAGTTTACATTTTGGTATTGAAATCTGTGAATCGCTTATAATATTTATTTAATATTTACAGAATGGCACAAACAAAAACAAAAGCGGCTAAGAATAGCTGGCTTAGAATATATAAACGCAAATGGGAAAGTGGTACCACCAAAACGACCGGGTCCCGATTGCAACTGTCGAAGACAATGCTTTCAGAAGGTTCCTGAAGATATTAGACTAAAAACATTTCAAGGCTTCTACTCCATGAAAACTCACGACGAACAAAATGCTTATTTGTTTGGACTAATGAGACAAGTTGATGTCAAGAGAAAAAGAGTTAAATCAAGTAGTCGTCGTACTTGCACGTTTGAATATTTCGTCAGAGTAAAGGGACGAGAAACTCAGGTGTGCCAAACAGCCTTCAAAAATATTCATGCTATCACTGAAAGAAAAGTCAGAGTTCTATGTAAGAAGATGGATGATGGTGTTATGTTTCCTAGTGACAACCGTGGTAAAAATAGTCACCGCCGTAGTGGAGAAGTTCGTCTGCCATCTGGAATGCTAGATCAAATAAGAAATCACATTTATTCTATTGTTCACACACATAGACTAAAAGATTTCATCAGATTGGACAAAATTGCTGGATTGGAAATCAATATTTCAAAAATGTGGAAAGATTACATTAAGACTTTTGATCCCGATAACATATCAGCTACTATGCCTAGATCTAAAAGAAGCGTGGAGCTAGTCCCACAAGTGGAGCAACCACAACAGGAACCTCAAATTACACAAGAGGCTTTGGCTCCCATTGCATATCCAGGAAGTGGTCATCTGGTAAATATAGCTGAAAACTATTTCCAAAATCAGTATCAGACAGCTACATTGACTACAGCCCCAGCAACTAATTTCTATCAGACACCTAATGGAGGACAAAGCATGGGTATTTTACTGCAATCTGCACCAAGGCCTGCACAGCCCACCACAGCATTCATTGTATTGCAAGCTAAACCTGAGCCCCCACAACACTCTACTATCACAATAGACAACCCTTACACACATACTACTACAACTGAAATGATGCATCATCATGTTGACACCAAACCAGAAAAGAAAATTAAGAAAGAAAAGAAAAGAGGTCCATTGGTTAAGCAGTGGAGGTACACTAATATATTCCATGATGAAATTAATGGAGCAGCATTGGCAGCTATCAAAACTAGACTAGGGATGTACTATGCTGAGAGTGATGCTGCCCGCAAGAAGGCCAAGCAGGCACAAGCTCAGGTTCAGGTGCGCCCTACAGAAGTGGTACAAACACAAACTCCCCCAGAACAGGTTCCTCAAATGAGACAGACGCACACAGTTACAATATACACTTAAAACCAGGAATTTTAAAACATGGCCTTTCAAAAAGTATTGCTTTATAAGAATTTATGGGACTGAATAATTTTGTGTATTTTAAGCTTTACTGAAAAATATCCAGCTTTATTATATATTAAAAATGCAATTCTAATATGATTAATACATTGCATTCATAATCTATAGATAATTTCTGAATTTGACAAGGATAACAATAATTTTCTAGAATTTTCTCTAGGCTTCATATTAGATTTATATGAATAAGCTAAATGCTAATCTAGGTAATTCATTAAGTACTGAGCATGCATGTTCATTTAGTAACATTAGCTAATACTAGAGCATGAACTAACATGGAATACATTAAGAAATGTAGTATAGAACAATACTGCAGCAACAAGAGCAGTACAGAACTTATAGACCTTAATTTATTTACTAATAAGAAAATTGTGAAGGATATTGTTTACTGATCTCATGGTATGTTTGCTTTATAATTCGAAATCCAGTGCTTATTAAAATAGAAATAAGCCATATAAACAGTGTATTAAACTCGTAATAACACTAATAAGGGACTTATGCAAACTAGTTGTGTGGAGTTACTGCCAGAATAATAAAAAAAAGGATTTGTTTTGTACAAGGAAATAATTTGGGTCAAGATTACTATGGTTCAAGAGTTTTTCTCGAGTGCTTCAATATGCGAGCGTTGATCTAAATTACATTTATCGCCAAGCTTATGACGGTGTGTTTATGTAGATATGTGTGCACATCAACAATCGATTTGCAACTTTATTACAAACTTATATATAGTTGAAAATCTATCTGATAAGACTAGATATCCTTAATATACAGCGGGGTCGAGTTTGGCAGGGAAATCTTACAATATTTAAAATGTCGCAACTTCTCACAGAATATGTAACAATAACAATTTTGCTTTTATTTTTTGTGCATTTGACATGGCGTTTTATTTAAAATTATTTAAAGTCAATTACCCATTAGGTACCTATATTTTATAATTTGATTATAAATCTCGATTACCTATAATATGTATCATGCTTTATTTTAAATTAATTTAGGTATATCTATTGAGTATTTTATTGATTATATGCTATATCAACAAATTGTGTTGTTTTATTTAATTTCCTGATGGCTTACAGACACTTCGTCTCGCTGTAGGTATGATTTCATGGGTCTTCAGGGTTATTTTCTTTTTCAATCTCTTTGACTGCATTTAGGTGTTGCATTGTTCTCAACACAATCGAACCAACTAAACTATGTAGGTAGGTAACTAGAGAATTGTATTGTAAACCCGATTGAAAAAGAGTAACTTAAGGAGTTTCTTGCTCGTTCTTCTCCATAGGAATCTACACCTTGGAATGAGCAACTAGCTTCACATCTAAATTTTTTGTTGTTGACGTTCAAGTGCCTTCCTGGTCTAATTGAAATAAATGATTTTGACTTTCGACTTTATGAGGGGAGACAGAAAGACGTGCGTGTAACTATGTAACTCGCGTAACCTTACCTCTGAGCCGTAGCCTTTTTTGGGAGGGGAGTGGAATCATCCAATGACTTCTCCCGCCTTGGGTTAGGCGAGAGGGAGTGTCCGACTCTTAACTAAAAACAATCCGTTAGGCCTTCTGCGGCTCCGTATGCCGATTCGGAGTCGTCGAACCTAACGGGTAACCGGGGCGCCGCCTCTACGTGCAGGAGAAGGAACGGGGTGGTTTTTAGTCAGTAAGAGACCGACACTCCCTCCCGCCTCACCCAGGCGGGAAGCAGTCATACGATGATTTTCCCCCCTTAAAAAAAAAAGCCTGTAGAAGCCTTGAGGTTAAAATTGAAGTAGGTAGGTAATAATTGTACAGCATATATCCATGTGAGACTTTATGAAAATCAAATACCTATATTCTTTGTACTGACGATTATAGTCATAACAGTATATATTTCAGGCTTATTACTACTATACATTTGAATGATAACATCACGCATTTTATCCCCGAAGGGGTAAGCAGAGATGCACAATAAGGCACTTGGTGCGATTACAATATAACAGTCACTTTCACTATTTATGTTAAATAGGGGGTGAGAAAATTTAAATGATTTTAGAGTCGAATATTAAGTATGAACTTACAGGACCACACATATCATATTTCATGACGAGGGAGAGTAAATTAAACGAGGAAGTAGCAAATAATAAGACAAGAATGGATTTTAGATTTTTAATGTATACTTAAATTACGCAGACAAAACGCAGACTCCTCCTACAGCCTTGATCTTCTTCTCAGCTGTTTTGGAGAAGAACTTAGCCTTAACTATGACGGGCTGCTTGGGGAGCTTGCCTTTGCCTAGTAACTTGTAGTAACCCTAGAAACAAAAAAAAAAAACATTAGAACCTAAGCAGTTTGCAATGAGAACCTCCTTCTTTTTGGGAAGTTGGTAAAGAACATAGTGCATAACAATTTCATGAAAAGATCAGTGCTGGAAAATTATCTTACACATTTTTACAATAAATAACTCTGGATATATTGTCCTTTGTCCCATAAAAACTTACTTCCTATGTTTAACTTTGAAGTTCATATAGTTAAATGAAACTTACAGCCTTGACAATGTTGATGACGGGTACTTTGCCGTCGGTGGCTGTGGCGTACTTGAGGCGGGACTGCTCAGACACCAGGGTCCATAGTTTGTCCAGGTTCAATACAGGGTTGAACAGCTTGTTTTTCCTCTCATGGTAATTCCTCATACCAAGCTAGAATAATTAAAAATATATGTTAAAATAGATTAGTACAACTTAACAATATTAGGAATAAGTTTATTTAACTAATAGCATCTACTCGTTTACTATTGGTAAAAACTGTGAATTTGCTTTTGAATACTCAAATGTGACTCAAATATTAATTTCTTGTGATGTCTATAAAGCATTTAATCAAACTGAAACATTTCTAAATCATCATTACTATAGCAAATCTTGTAATAGAAATACAAAAAAATAAACGCAAGTAACTAGAATTAATAAATAATTCTGTAATTCTTGTATATATTTATTATATACTTACAATGGACTTGGATGGAATGGAATGGATTTATGGACTTATTCATAGGAAAAGTATCATTTTATAAATCTGCTTACTTTGCCAAAGTATCCAGGATGGTACTTGTCCATGTTGATTCTGTGGTGGTGCTCACCACCAGCGTTACCGCGACCTCCAGGATGCTTGCGGTGCTTTCCTGTAACACAATAGTAATAAATTAATACAAAGCTATTCGAACAAGTAAGTTTTCATTAGATTTGAACACATTTTGTTTACCAAGATATTAATATAGTGGTCTAGCAATCTTCATGTTTAGTTGGAAAGTATTGGTCTGATTTCATGTTTTAGAATATTAAACCTATTCAATTAACAACCTAGTACCAAGTGATATATGTGACAATAACAAAAACTATCAATGTGAATGTCTCAACGAGGATGAAATGGTAGGCTCTTACATTATATCAGTATAGAATCCAAACTTAAATAATTAGAAGCTAACATTAAGGTCAAAGTGCTGGTTTGTATTCAGAAGGCATGCAGTGCCCCGGTTAAGTCTGACAAGGTGAGGTTAGGTTGTTGATTATGTGTCTAAAACATTTTGGTTTTTTAATAAATAATAGGTAGAACTTACCGATGCGACCGTGGCCATGGCTCACGTGTCCTCGTAGCTTCCTGGTCTTCTTCTTGGAGGTGGCCTGCAGCGAAACAACAAAAAGATTTTACTCAAGTGTTTCCACATCATTATTACAAATAATACGCTTGGGGCCACTGATTTCACTAGTAACAAATAAAACACGCTTAATTTACTGGATTTAATTAAAGATGTTATAGAAATATTTAGATAAAAATTATAAGTTTCACACCAACCATATTTTCGTCTTCAGTCAAGTTTTGAAAAGAAAGAGAAGGGAATCACTTGCTGTCACTGTCAAGTCAAAGTTTCATTCAATTTCAATTTGTCTCTGGCAAACTTAAGTTCTAGAAGCATAGACAAACTGCTTTAGCTGCTCGCTTTTCTTTTTATCAATTTTTTTCTTTCTTATTTTATTATTTTACTTTCTTATTTTATTATTTTATTTCTATTGTTGGTAGATTTATTACATTACGTATTTTCTAATTCGGTGGTCCAGCTAATGAGGAAACATCGTCCTCACCACATGAGTTATTTTCCATAGGAAATTAAATTGTATTAAAAATGCAGCCCTTGCACTTGGTTGAAAAAGTTTTGACTAAATACTTAATATTATATCTTAGTATGTATTGTGCCTCGAATTCTCATTGTTCATATATTACCACTTTTAATTATTTTAGTTTATTGGCAACAATTCCTGAATTAAGTTTGATAAGTTGGTAACACTGTCAGTACGTTTCCAGAAAATGGTGGGATTGTGTATCAAAATCGGGCATGACACGTATTTTACGATTTTTATAAAATAATTTGTGAAAATTTTACAATGTTATTGTGTTTGTAGAAGGTTTACGTCTACAATATAATTTGATTCCGAAAACATGGAGTTTCGTGAAACGTTGTTAGCAGCTCAACGAAATCAACAACAAAAGTCATCTGTGAGTGTACCACATAATTTTGCGAAAAAATATGCGCATTCTATTGTATTGTGATAAATTTCAAGATTATAATGTGATTATCCGAGTCCAGTAATAACCAGTATTTATACTTTCGTGATTCCTAACTCGAGCACGAAGATACTTTTACTTTGTTGTTATTGTCAAAATGTACGTCTCTTCTCAGACAGAGAAGTTACGAGCGTGGTAATTTAATATCACCACGTACCGCTTGTCGAAAGCGATTTAGCGATTTCAAACTTATTATTAGAAATATAAAACCAGGTTTTCTTACTATGTTTTCCTTTACCGTATGTCACTGATTTCAATAATAAATAATTGATGTGATTTCAGGAAAATGCATACTACAAAGCTCGCTTTGATCCGCCCAAGAAAGAGCAGAAACAGAGGGACAAATTGTCAGCTAATATTCAAAAATTTTTGGCAAAGAAGGATGAGGAAGAGAGGCAAAAGAAAATTGAAGCTCAAAGGAAAAGAGAGGAGCTCCTTGCTATGAGAGATCCTAAAGCCTTGAAAAAGATTCAGAAAACTCTGAAAGTGATCAAGTCAGCCAATAAGTCAGTGATTGCTGATGCTATTGATCGGGATAACACTGCAGTGACTCGTGAGGGGCCGGACCAGCCTGATCAAGATGATTATGGCTATGAGTCCCAAGAAGCAGCAGCTATTTACGAAAAGATGATGGAAAAGTATAGTAAGATGCCAGATGAACCAAAATTTCCAGTAGGAAGTAAGTGTTTTTTTAATTTCTTTCTAAATATTATGTAGGTCAACTAATAATATTGGAAAATATACAATATAGGTAATAAGTTCCAAAGTCTGATTCTGCTTAAGTAATTTACAATTCAACTAATGTCTTATTGACTATGATTGTTCATTTGTAAGTGATCATTTAAATACCTATTAGATAGTTTATTATATTTTTTTTGTGGTTAAATGACCAGACAGCTACCTAATGATAACCAATGGCACCGCAGATGGATATCTGAAACACCGGAGGTGTTACAAATGCATTACTGGGTTTCTGGGATTAGGAATTTGAGGATGGATTCAGAAGGGAGGATGGAACAAAACAAGCTTTGTTTCATATTAGTTTTCTGTGACACTGTAGTATCACTCCCGTTTGGCCGTTTAGCCAGCCCATTTGTGCCAAAGCATGGCTCTTCCACACTTTAATGTTGCCATTTGTTTCTTTGTTTTCCCCTTAAAAAAGGAATAATGATATTGATATATCATTATGTTATAGATGCAAGATGAGATAGCTTTTAAGAGCACTGAGCGATTTCCTACTATGTCTGTTCCATATCTGATAGAAATCCATGAAAAATTGGTTGGTTGATTTGTGATGGAAAATAAATCCCAGCTTTTAGCATTTTACAAAGAATCACAGCAGTTATTTATTTATTTATTATCAGCTTTGAGAAATGTTTGAAAGTTTGAAGACAAATAGTCCATACTTTACAGCCTTTATAAAAATTAATAATAATCTGTGCATTTTCTATAAGACATTCATTGAAACGTTAACTCTAAATGCATACATTCTTCATTCACTCGATTATATTTTAAAAGTCAGTCAATAGAATATAGAAGAGAGAGATTAATTATATAGATTGCAGAAAGAAATCACATCTAGTGTGACTGATCTATGATTATATTTTTATAAAGTCAGATTAGACATAGTTGAATTTTGTATTGATTATACTGAATTACTTTGTTATGGTTATTATTTTCTATTTGTCACAGTGTCCTTTTTATTTGCTTGTGATCAATATTAAAAAGGAATCCAAAATGCAAATTATTTTTTTTTTACCTTTATTCATATTATATTTTTCCTAGACACATCTGTAAAGAGAGATCTTAATGGTACAAGAGAGCGCGTAAAACACGCCTTGAGACATGAAGATGATCCGGTACCTCATAAGCGTCGACGGAAAGGAGAGAATGGAGGTAAATTTTGCTTCAGTTTCTAGAATTAGAACATTTATGTTATGATTAATGTTGTATTTCCCAAAACTTATAATTTAAAATATTTCAGAGCGAGAATCAAGTCCACCAACAAAATATGAGCCTGAAAAAAAAGAAACTAAGCCAGAAAAGCCCAAATTTCGGAAACCAGCCCCTCCCCCTATGGACTTCAATCAACTGTTGAAACTAGCTGAACAAAAGAAGAGTGAACCAATTGAAATAGGAAAGAAGAAAGAAGCTGTAGCAGAGTCTGAGGCAGGCCCTGAGAGACTCATGACCAAGAAACAGAAGAGGGATTATGAGGAGGAGATGGCGAGAAGACAACGTCGCTTAGAGAGGTTGGAGGCAGAGAAAAATGGTGGTAAGAAAGGTAAATATAATAATCTGATAACATTCTTACTACAGACCTACTCGATTTCACATACTGGTTTGAATCTTAACACACATTTCATACTGTGTAAGTACAATCCTAATGAAATTTTTTATCTTAACTTTCAGTATCAAGAGATGATAGACCGAGGGACGACAGATCAAGAGATGACAGACCCAGGGAAGCTGAAAGAGAAAGAAGACCTGAACCAAGTTCTGGGTTAGGTCGCATCCCGAAAATGTCAGACAAAATGAACAATCACAACTCTAGAAATGACAGTCCTAGACCATCTGACAGAGAGAGAAGTGAAAGGGAGAAAATAGAGAAATTACAAAAAGAAAGAGACCGATTAAGACTAGAAAAAGATAAGGCTGAACGTGAGAAGGAAAGAATAGACAGAGAGAGACTTGACAAGCTGAAGGCGGAGAGAGAACGAATCGAAAGAGACATAGACAGACTTAACAGAGACAGAGAAAAGTTAGAAAAGGCTAAATCTAAGTTAGAGAGTAGCAGTAGACCCCCAGAAAAAGTAGTCAAAGGTGTTAACAAACCTGTAGATAGATCAAAATTAAATTATAAGGAAGGAGTTAAACAAGATGTAAATAAAAACATAGACTTAAAGAGCCAAAATACATACAGGATAGATAAGAATTCTAATGAAAGGAAATTAGCTGTACCGGGTAAGCAATCTGATAGTAAATTATTGAATGGCCATAGTAGCCAGGGTAAGTCAGTGCCAAAGCAGAGAGAGCCTGTGCATCAAAATGGCTTTAAGGATAAAGCTTTACTGGCTAAGCAGAGAGCTGCCGAAGGATCTCAGAAAGTAAATGATAAGAGGCTGGTAGACAGTAAAGGAGTGCCTTCTAAAAGACCTGATGATAGGAAACTTGGTGCTAGTGACAAAGCTGGCCCAAGTAAGCCGAAGATTACAAGTACATTTGATTTTGATAAGCACATTAATGGTTTGGGTAAGAATGGCGCGAGAAAGCCGGACGGTACGCGCCAGTTCCCGCCAGGTGACGTCAGGAGAAAAGCTATGGAGAAGAAGAAACGTAAGTGTCATTGTACTTTTTATCTACTCAAATACTACAGAGCCTGACCTAAAGTAGTTAGTAGTCAGTATAAAAATAGTAGCATAGTAAAAAACTAGTTTTACTTTAACCTAGTAAATGGTATCACCCTTAGTGGCTTGTAAGGCAGGTTGGTAGGAAGTACTTACTTTCAGCCCAATCTGATTATGACTCGGTGCAGATGGAAAATAAATAAAAGTCTGTTTAATTCAATAATAACTGACTGTCCTTATTTTTTCTCCAGGTCGCGCTCTAGACTCTGATTCGGAGTACGATTCTGAACTGGATGATTTCATTGACGACGGCGATGATGAAATGGATTACTCCAGACATATTAAGGAGATATTTGGTTATGATAAATCCAAGTAAGTAAAAAAATTGATTTATTTCGGCTTTTGGTGAAATAATGGCAAAAAAGCACACGGCCCACCTGATGGTAAGCGGTTACCGTGGCCTATGTACGCCTACAACACTTGGGGCATTACATGCGCCTTGCCGACCCTTAACCCTTTAACCGCCAAGCTTCTGAACTTTCAACTTACCTCCAGCGCCACGTCACTTTAGGTATAAGTTGGAACAGTGTTGGGAACACTTAATATCGATGCATATATTCTTTATTAATTAAAATCAATGTTTTATTTACCTACTTAATAAATAAGCTAAAAATTTTCAATCTTCAAACGAAGTGTACGAAAATGAGTATTCGGGAAATGGCCACGGCGTCGTCCGTTCTCCTGCTGGCGACGGTGACGATGCTCCACGAGCATGTTGTATTAAATTTAATAATTTCATGTAAACTTCTGAGCGGATTTCCGACAGTACGGTTTCCAGCTCAAAAGGTTTTAAAGATGCAAAGTATTCATTTCGTGGATCACTTGGTCTCTGATCAAAAACTTTTGCGTCACCATCTTCTAACTTTGCATAATGGACACATTTGGTTTTGACTGTGTTGATTTATTTGAGAAATAACAAAAACCCAAAAAAGGGCTTACAACACTAGTTGCATTGAGTGATAAATGTTTAACGTGATTTTACGGTGACGGCGCTAAGGCAACTCACAATACAGCGCTATAATCTCCTTGGCCGCACGTAATATTACGATGATGGCGACCGGCGATTGTCCGCACTAGTGCGGTTCTGCGTTATGAAATTTTTATATTATTGTTATAAATATTAAATAATTTTAAACTTAAATACATTTTAATTAGTACAAATACTTGCATCAAAGTAACACTATGGTTATTTTCTAATGAAAGTATACACTTTCATTGCAAATAGTGACAGTAATATCTATAGTGCCTTGTTTGTTCTTAGACAACCTATTAAGTATTTTTCGAATTCGCCCCATCCCTAGTACTCGTAAAATTACGTGATTGGCGATACAGATAATGGAGACGGTGACCACAATTTAATTAAACCTCAAATTTCACAGTATTTATCACTCAAAACATTGAGAAATATCCATAACAATAAAGATTATACCCTACATCTTGAAATTGACACATTTTATATGGAGTTTGTGCACTATAAGAAGATTTTTAATAAAATAACGTGATTGTACGTATGTGGCGATTCGGACACAGCTTTCGAAAACCGTAATATTACGTTGTCGGCGGTTAAAGGGTTAA